GGCTCGGGTCATGATCCTGGAGTCCCGGGATCGAGTCCCGCATCGGGCTCCCTGCTCAGCGGGGAGTCTGCTTCTCCCTCTGACCTTCTTCCCTCTCGTGCTCTCTATCTCTCATTCTCTCTCAAATAAATGAATAAAATCTTTAAAAAAAAAAAATCTTAAAAAAAAGAAAGAAAGAACCAAGTAAAAGGTACACCTGACAAGTGCTGTGGAGGAAAATAAAGGAAGGAAGGGGATTGGGGCCGTGGACTGCAATTTTAAAAAGGATGGTCGAGGAAGACCTCGCTCTTAAGGTGACATTTGAGCAGAGACATGAAGGAAGGAAGGGAGTGAACTGAGCTGACATCTCGGGGAAGAATATGCTGGGCACAGAGAGGAGCGAGCTCTCAGGTTGCAGTGGGAGTGAATGTCACCGAGAACCACAGGAGAATCTGTGGGGAGTGAGGCAGGGAGCCTGTCCTGCCTCCTTGCACTTGCCCCTGGTTCTTGCAGCAGAAACCCTGGTGTCTCAGGGCCGGGCGGGCGTGCGCTCTCCTGCAAGAGCCCAGGAGCAGGGGAAGCGAGAAGAGCCTCTGGAACTGTGGCAGGTTGGGAATGGATTGCACCAACTCATTTATGAGAAACAGGATTATTAAGGGAAAAACCATCGTTAGCCGCTACTCTACAAAAGTCAGCCCTTTACGTTTTTGTCCATTCTTTCCAAGCTCTGTACCGCATGGAAGCTTTTTATGTGGTTATGATTCTATAGCAGATGGTTTTGTAGACTGCTTTTTTATTTCCTAACAGTCGTATCCTAAGTGGTTTCCATGGTGCTTTGGTCTCCATAGTCACGTGTCCTGGTGTCCGATGCTGTGCTGGGCGCCTCTGATCAATCAGTCCCGTACCTAGTCCCCTGTTTCATACGTTTGGGTTTCCAGGATTGTTGTATCATAAATTATTCAGTGACCATCTTCATGTGTTTTGATGGAGATTCTTTCCATAAGGGACATTTGACGAGTAAGAAGTATTCCGGGTCAGGAGTACCCGTGTTTGTTTCATGTCTTGTGACACAGATAGCCGACTTGTTTTCAAAAGCTCTCGTGCTTTTTGCTTTTGATCTGCTGTTAGCAGTGCGAGTGTACCAGATCCATCACGGCTTCACTCATTAGAGAATTTCACTTTCTGTGTCTGCAAGCTCAGTATTTGGAAATGGACACAGTTAGTGTAGGTGGGGAATTTGGGGAAGGCCGATTTTGAGTATTTCCAGATACCCGTTTCTTCTTCCCAACGTAGTTTCCTAATTCCTCTCTGACTTTTCACAGAGCTTTCTGAAACTCCCAAACTCCCCAGCCTCGGCCCTGAGTTCTTTTCCTACCCTGGAGCTTTTGCTCGAGGCCTTCACTCCCTCTAGCCCATCCAGGGGAGACCACACACCCTCTGTGCCCCGCGTATCTCAGGTCCGGGGCGGGGGGGGGCTGTCCTTGTTCCTAGGTGTTGTATTCAGACAGTTGCGCTCTCTCTTTGTAAAAACTTTTCCTTTAAGGCTTCTGCTCTGTGAGCCTCCTTTATCCACCAAGGACATTAACACCTCATGGCTCTCCTGTGCACCCCAAGTCTTTCCACCATCTTGGTGACCTTGGGTATGCAAACCAGAAGCCTGGGTCTCATCCTTTAATCTTCCTTTTCCCTGACCCCCCCACATCCAGTTAATTGCCAGATTCCATCGAGTCCCCCTAATCTTTCGGATCCATTTGCTTCTTCCCACTCTGCTGCCCCTGCTTTAATTCAGGTCTTATTATTGGGGCCCTTATATTACTGGAACAGTCTCCTGTCTTTGTTTGCTCATTAAGACATTTGTCATTGACTGCTAATAATATACTAGGTGTTGGGGAAACAGTGGTGAACCAGACAGATAGGATTCTTGCCTCCTCAGATGGGTATGGTGTGGAGTGAGGAGCACGGAGGGCTGTAAGAACCTGGAGTGGGGCAGCTTGCTCTGCTGAGGGGTTAGGGAAGGCCTCCCAGTGGAAGAAGCATCTAAGAGACCAGAAGGGTGATTAGGATTCAACCAGAAGGAGTTGTTGAGGGAGGTGAAGGGAGAATATTCCAGACCTGGACGCTAGTGAAATCCTGCAGATCGAGGGTATGGTGAGTTGGCACCTTCCGGGGACTGGAAGTCGAAATGATGGGATGTAGAGATTTTAAAGGAGTGAGTCTGGAGGCGTGAGCCATGAGCGGTGAGTAGGGGGTAGCCACTTGGTAAGGAGATTGGGGTTTATACTGAGGGTTATGTGGACTCATTAAACGTTTTAAGCAGGAGCATGATGCTGGACAGAATGCCAGCTTAGCAAGGTCTCTGGGGCCTGCCGTGGCTGCAGTGTGGGGAACGGGTGGGAAGCTTGGAGTACAGGGAGACCTGGAGAACTTGCAGAATTGCAGCGATGTTAGCAGGAGGGTGGCGGCTTGGCGCGGGACTGGAAGGGAGCGCACACGTTCAGGAGTGCCTGGAGGTGGGCCTGGCAAGGTTCGTGTCACCAGCTGCTCTTTGGTCAGGAGTGGAAAGGGAGTGAAGAGCCATAGTGGTCTGGGCTGGTGCTCAGATTGGACGCTTAGACATTTGGGTGTGGAGCCCGGGGGCAGCAGGAGGTTTGAAGGAGGCGGGAGCTGTGTCCGTTACTAAAGTCCAGCTGAGTTTGAGGTGGCTGTGGGCTGTGCGCCTGGAGCTGCGTGCCGGGCGGTCTGATAAGTGGGTTCAGAGTGGAGACGCAAGTCCTGGGGCATGACGTCACGCCGAAGGCCAGTGAACACCTGACAAAGGATGGTCACCCAGATGTCTGAAAGAGTTCCTTCACATCAGTAAGGGGAAGACGACAACCCGGTAGAAAAAGGAGCAGAAGTTACGAAAAGGTGTACTTATGTGACCAGTGAGCACAGGTCACCAGGGCAATGCAGATTTATACCACAGTGGAATTCTCTCTCACAGCCTTCACCTGAGAAAAAGTTGCAGGTCTGGCAATAGCAAGAAGATGCCGAGCACCAGGCACTCACAGGCTGCTGGTGGCAGAACGAATCGGGATGGGCTCTTGGGCCCGAGTGTGACCGCATCTAGCGGAGGGGGCGACGTGCGCGCCATAGAGCCGCCCTCGCACACGTGCTCCAGAATGGTAAAAGCACACCTGCTGAAACACGGAGAAATGCCGGTGACTCAACAGAGAAGGATAGTGAGCGGGGTACTGGCCAGCGGCGAAGGTGCCTGAGCTAGAGCTCAGTGCGTCACCGTGGCTACGTCTCCCCATCACAGAGAGAGGTGCGCCGTCTGGCACCGTTGGTACTAACTGTAAGGGCGTGCCAGACAATGGTATACTTTGTGTTTGGGTTTTTTTTTTTTTTTTTAAGATTTTTTATTTATTTGACAGAGAGAGACACAGCGAGAGCAGGAACACAAGCAGGGGGAGCAGGAGAGGGAGAAGCAGGCTTCCTGGGGAGCGGGGAGCCCGATGTGGGGCTCGATCCCAGGACCCTGGGATCATGACCTGAGCCCAAATCAAGAGTTGGGACACTTAACCAACGGAGCCACCCAGGCGCCCCTGTATGAATGTATTTCTAAAGAGATGTATGAGAATGATGAATTCAAGATAGTGTTGACTCTGAGAAGGTTTCCTTGGGAAGAAGTTTTAACTGTTTTATATTTTATTTTTTAAGGGGGTTGGAGGAGTCACAGGAGTTTTTAAAAATACTTCTTTGCTGGGCAACCCTCTCGGGTCCCCTCTCTCTTCGGGAGCTTTGTACCATCGCTCCGTAAACTTTGTTTTGCTGCCAACCAAAAACACCCCAAAAAAAACAAAAAAACCTTCTGTGCATGTTTGAACCGTTTGATAATTTTTTTAAAGGATCAAATGGCATCTAGTACGTGCTCAGTAAGTATTTGTATCAATGGTTGGTTCTTGGTTTCTTTGTTGGGATATTCTTTGCTTCTTCCTAAGTGTTTAAAAAGCAAAAGGATAAACCTGTATGGCTTTTGGCGGCCCAAATCTGACATCAAAGTCTGAGCTGACCCTCGAACACTGAGATCAGGATTCTGTTCTTCATATTAACCCTGTCTGCCTTCTGCCTGGTTAAGTGCCGGCAGACAGCCCCCCCCCGCCCCTTGTCGCGGTACCGCTAGAGGCATGACTGCCTCCTTTTCCTGCCAGTGACCGAGGCATCTCTGCGTCTCTGTCCAGGCCCCTGTCCTTCGCATGGTGGAAGGCGACACCATCTATGATTATTGTTGGTATTCTCTGATGTCTTCAGCCGAGCCAGACACCTCCTAGTAAGTGATGTCCTTTGCCTGCCCCCGCCTTCCCTTCCCATCCCGTCCCCCCACCTGTGTTTCAAGGGGACCCTCTACTGAGAGGGAGCTGGGGCTGCCAGGGGTTTCTGGGGGGAGGACAGCTTGGTGTACCCTTCAGATGCAAGCGGAGAGGGCCGGTCAGTTGGCTTCCTCCCCTTCCTTTGACAGACCGGGACCTCAGTGTCCGTGTCTCTCTCAGCGTGGCCAGCAGCAGCCGGGAGAACCCCATTCACATCTGGGATGCATTCACCGGAGAGCTCCGGGCTTCCTTTCGGGCCTACAACCACCTGGTAGGGACCTCCCCGTCCAGGCCCAGGGCTCATCCTGGCCCCGCTCTCCCTCCTTGGGGACCGCTGAGGCTTTGCTGGGCCTGTTTGCAGTGCTTTCCTGCCCTTAGGACGAGCTGACGGCAGCCCACTCGCTCTGTTTCTCCCCGGATGGCTCCCAGCTCTTCTGTGGCTTCAACAGGACCGTGCGCGTCTTTTCCACGGCCCGGCCTGGCCGTGACTGTGAGGTCCGAGCCACGTTTGGTAAGCGTCTGTGCCTCCCAGGGGAGGAGGAAGGAAAAGGGCACTGCCCTGTGCAGAGGGGCCTTGTGTGAGCCGGGGGACCAGGCGTGGCCCATCACCTTCAGGACAGCCCAGGGAGGCAGATTGTACTCAGTGGGCAGAGGAGAAAACAGGTTTAGGGAGGGGGTGAAACTTTCCCAGGGTCAAGCTGCACGGTAAGGAGCTGCTTCACTCCTGAGCGCAGGCCCTGTTGGCGGTGTCCCTTTCGCTCTCCAAAATCTTGGTACCTCTAGGAAACTGATGGTGAAGCTGATTCATTTTCCTATAAGCCTTCAGCTTTTCATCCCTCCAAGATGACACAGGTTTGAGAAGGAAGAGATAAGTCTTGAGCACGTCGGTGCTTTGTGGGGATGGAAGGATCTGGGGAGCCTCAGGGGTCTTTATCCTGCTGTGACAAACGGGGCAGGGGAGGCGTTCATTCCCGGCTCATGGGACAGGAGACAGATGCACCTCGGATTAGCCCGCTAGTGTCAGGTGTCCTTGCCCTCTGCCCAACTTTGTTCCTTCCCTGTCTAGCCAAAAAGCAGGGCCAGAGTGGCATCATATCCTGCATAGCCTTCAGCCCAGCCCAGCCCCTCTACGCCTGTGGCTCCTACGGCCGGTCCCTGGGTCTCTATGCCTGTGATGGTGGCTCCCCTCTTGCCTTGCTGGGAGGACACCAAGGAGGTGTCACTCACCTCTGCTTCCACCCCGATGGCAACCGCTTCTTCTCAGGAGCCCGCAAGGTAGGGGTCACGTCCTGGGATTCCAAAGAGGGTGCACAGAAGGCAGGAATGGGGATGTAGTCTGTGTTGTGTTGGGGGACAGACGTGGGAAAAAATTAACCCAAGCTAAGGGAGCGTCTGTAAACCTTGAGGGAAGCAGGGATGTCTTGGGGAGTGGAGGGGGTGGGCAGGGGAGGGATGGGCTCCAGGCCCCCCTGCTCTGTGTCTCCAGGATGCCGAGCTGCTGTGCTGGGACCTCCGGCAGCCTGGTCACCCACTGTGGTCCCTGAGTCGAGAGGTGACCACCAATCAGCGCATCTACTTCGATCTGGATCTGTGAGTGACCAGGGTCCTTCCTGCCCAGGGTACCAATGCCCCAGGGCTGCCAGAGCCCAGCTGTAGGTCCCAGCCCCGGGGGTGATGACTCCGTGTCACCAGACGTCTCTCTTCCCCAGGACTGGGCAGTTCTTAGTGAGTGGCAGCACTAATGGGGCTGTGTCTGTGTGGGACACCAGCAGGGCTGGACAGGAGGCGAAGCCGGAGCCCGTGCTGAGTTTTCTGCCCCAGAAGGACTGCACCAATGGAGTGAGGTGATCCCGGACGGCCACGGATCTGGGGGCTCAGGCTGGGGGAGGGCGCTGAGGTGCTGACACGCCCTGCCTGCTGGTCTCTGTCCGCAGCCTGCACCCTAGCCTGCCATTGCTGGCTACTGCCTCGGGTCAGCGCGTGTTTCCGGAGCCCGCAGAGAGTGAGGACGAAGGAGAGCAGGACGCAGACCTTCCCCTGCTTTCCATGCGCGGCGTCCACCTTGAATGTCAGCTTCAGCTCTGGTGGTGTGGGGGGGGTCCCGACGCCAGGGCGGCTGATGCTCACCGGGGCGAGAAGGGGCCGGGAGGGACTGAGCAAGGCGGGGACGAGTTTGTATAAAAAGGTTCTCTGTGGTACCAGAGTCTTTGTGTCTTTTTTTGGGAGGCGCATGATGGAGATGGGGCCGGGAGGGGTACCCGCGGGCTCCCTTGTCCAGTAGCGGTAGGGGTTGGCATATTGTTCCCCAAACCAGGGTGAGAGGTGGGACTAGGCGCGAGCCAATGGGGCTGCTGAGCTCGGTGTGAAGTCAAGTGAGTGGGGGTGGGGCTTCATGCCATTGACTGGCGGGTTGCTAGGCAACTCGGTAAACTGAAGGGGGAACCTGTTTGAAATCTCAGTCCCAAGGTGGGGGCGGCAGGGGTCAGGGTGAGCGTGGCTGAGCAGGAGTGGCAGGCGCCGTGTGTCAGACTGCTGGGTGTGACTGCGTGAGACCGTGCAGACAGTGACAGACAAGACGCCCGCTCACTCGCGCTGCACACTAGTTACCACCACCCGGCAGCAGAGGGACCGTTACTCAGCTCTGGGGGAAGGGGAGCCGGAGGGCCCTCCGCAGCCTCTCCTCCCCTGCGCTCCCCCAGGAGGCAGGGACTGAGTAGCTCGAGTCAAGGGCACACACGAGAGGATAGAGGTGCCGAGAAGCACAGACGTCCCATGCTAGATGCGGGACCAGGGCGGGAGCGGCTCAGTCGGCAGCTGTCACCGGGCCTGTGTCTCCATTTATCTGCTCGCTTTGGGGGTGGGGGGCGACTGTGTGGTTTCAAGCAGGGGCTGCTCCCCACCCCCAACCTCGCCAAACACCGAGAAGGGGGCTTTGAAGAGCCCGCGGGCAGGGGATCTGACGTGGGACCTCGCCATCAGTGCCAGGGGACTGGAGGCCTGCGACGGCTGAGCGGGGAGAGGAATGTCACCTCTGCCCAGAGGTGCTGAAAGCGAGGGTTCTTACACCCGAAAAGGCAAATCCTCCTCCCTTCCCCCAGGATAATTGGAAACAGCCCTTCCGGCTGATGTGGGTTTGGGGCTGTAGGTACTCCCTTTCCTCTCCCCCGGCCCCGGTTCTCCCCGCCGCCAGGCAGCGAGGGCCCCGGTTTACCCCCTGAACTCTTACCTCGCACCCAGCCCCAGGTAACCGGGAGAGGACCCAGGAGGAGGAGGAGTGCGGCGACCCGGGCCGGGTGTCCGCCTGTGCCGCCCACTCCCCGTGTGACCTTGGGCCCGTCTAGGCACCCCGCCGCCCCCCCCCGCCCAAGCCTCAGTTTCTTCATCCCCACAATGGGGGCCCTGTGGCTCTGCCCCTCCCACTTCACACAGGTAGTCGTGACGACCAACTCAGCCCACTTTGTAAAGTGCGGAGCCTTCAAGGTTATTACTATTCTCTCCAGACCTGCCGGGAGCCGCGGCGGCGTTTCGGGCTGGGGTGGGGGGGCGGGGGGAGGAGGCTGCGGGAGCGAGAGGGGCTGGGCTCCTCGGGGCGGCGAGGGCGAGCGCCTTTCTGGATTTGGGCGCGGAAGGTTCCAGCCGCCCGGTCGGCCCGCGGACCGGAGGGCAGACGAGCCGGGGCGGCGGCGGGGGTGGGGGGGTGGGGCGGGGACAAAGGGGGCGCGGGGGGGGGCGGCGGGGCGCGCGGGAGGGGCGCGAGGTGAGGGAGGTGCGGGGGGCGTGGGCTGCGGGCTCCGCCGCCCGCTCCGACGCCAGCTCCAGCTCCGGCTTTTCCCTCCGCCATCCTCTCCCCCTCCCCGCCACTCCTTTAACTCCCCCCTCCCGGGCTCGGCACTGGTTTCCTCCCCGAGCCTGCTGCCCTCAATCCCGGCGAGGCTGGGGCTCCGGCTCGCGCCCCTCCCTCGCTCCCTCGGCCGGCGCCCCATGCCGCCCCCGCCCGGCCCTCGGCTGCCCCAGTCCCCCACTTAGGCCGGCCCTGCGATCCCAGGGTGCCGGAGCGCGGGCCGGGGGCGTAGGGCGCCCGCAGGCGGCCACTGGAAGGGCTCTAGCGGGCTGAGCGCTCCGCGGCAGGGGCGCGGGCAGAGCAGGAAGCGGGTCCGCGTGGGAGCGGGGGACGGCCGCCGCCGGGGTGGTCGGGGCCGAGCAGCCGGGGCCGCCGAGGCAGTCACCGCAGGGGGCGAGCGACTTTGGGGGAGTTGGTGCCCCGCCCCCCAGGCCTTGGCGGGGTCATGGGGGCCCCCCGTTCTGGGCCGGGGGGCGTGCGAGTCGGGGCCCTGCTGCTGCTCGGCGTTTTGGGGCTGGTGTCTGGGCTCAGCCTGGAGCCTGTCTACTGGAATTCGGCGAATAAGAGGTGAGTGGCCCCCGGCTGGGGAGACCCCACACCCTTCGGGCAGGCAGTAGGGGCGCTTTGGGGATTTGCGGGGGGCTGGTTCTCGGAGCTGGGAGGAGGCCGGAGGGAGGGGTGCTAGTGCTCTGATGCGAGCTGATGGGTAACGACACAGAGGTGATCTTGGGAGCCAGACTCCTGGGTCGCAGACAGACAGAGCTGGATGTGGGTGGCGACAACCATGCGTCGGGAGTTGGAAGGACCCCACAGGGGCAAGGATCCGAGAAAGTTCCTGGGTAGCCGCCGGGAGGGTGGTGGAGTGGTTATTTGGGTTTGTGAGGGACCTGTGTCCTGTCGGGGGCTGGGCTTGGAGGGAGCCTGGTTAATGTCAGCTCTCGGGAGAGCCGCTGACTAGGTGCCGCTGAGCGCTGAGGGGAAGGGCAGGGTGCCTCCCTCCCCAGAAGGGACTCTGTGTAGACCAGGGGAGGGAAGGGGGCTCCGTGTGGGGGCTCTGGGGACATCTCACCCAAGGCTTCTGGACTCTCCACACCGTCTGTCCCCTAATTCTTGCCCACAGCCAGAGGGTCAGTGAGCCCTTGGCCGATGGAGTTCCCAAGCAGAAGATATTCCTGCCTTCCTGGCTTGGGGATTTTTTTTTTTTTTTCCTGGAAGAAACCTGGAGCCCCTTTCTCTCTTGCATCTAGAGTCCTGAGGACTCCCTTGCCCCCTCCCCCATCTTTGCTGCAAACTCTTCCATCAGACCCTCTGTTCCCTCTCTGGCATGCTTGCTTTGCTCTGAAAAAAGGCCAGGGGTCACATGAAACTTCAAGTCACACTGGGTAGGACTGAACCCTTGGGAGGTCATCCAGGTCCCTGGCCTCCATGCAGAGCCCTCTCCCCGCTAGCAAAAGAGTTCTGTGTTTTGCAAACTTCCCACTTCCCTGGGGGAGGCTGTGTGAGGCTACGGGAAGGGGTAGGGGGTGGGCTTTGGAGCCCACCACATCCTAGGTCTTAGTCCTAGCTCTGCTGCTTTCAGCTGTGTGGCCTTGGGCCCGCCACTCAACCTTCCTGAGTTTGTATCCTTAGTCCTCACACCTTTTATGAGGATTAGAGAGGTAAGGTGTTTGAACATATTACATGGTCATTAAAGGAGAACTAGGATTATTGTTTGTCTTCTCTTGACTTCCCAGCCTCCTCCCTGCTATGTCTCTTTGGGTATAATCTCAAATATCTTTTCTCAGTCTACTACCCACCAACTCCCAGCTGCGGTTTGAGTATCAGGTGCAGCCTGAGGACGTAAGTTAGGCTTATTATAGGGTTGAGCAGAGGGAGGTAGGGTGCTGGGGGTTCTTTGGGATGTGGGGTGGGAGGGAGTAGGTCATTTGGGAGTCTGGGAAGATCCTGAGCAGCTGTCCCCTCTCCCCCCCAGGGACCCAGCTCTGGGACCCGATCCCCATTCATGCATAGGGAGGGGCTGCAGTCAAGGGCAGAGGGAGGCGTGGGCTTGTGGAGGCTGTGGTTAGGAAAGTCAGTTCCAGAGCAATAGGGCCCTTTCCCTAGGAAGTCTGAGCCCCAGGGCAGGAGGGGTACTGAGCAGGGAGATGTCTGGGGCAGCTGACCTCCAGACCCTGCTTCCCATTGGCCTCATTGAGGGCCATTGCCAGACCAGGCATTTAACTGCTGTCACATTGCCTGGCTAACTTGGGACACTGGTCCGGATTACCCTCCACACTCAGCAACCCCCCCCTCCAACCCCCACCCTTCCTTTGCCCTGAGATCCCTCAAATTCAGTGGTGGCCTAGGGGAAGGGGAGGCTCTGCCCCCATGGTTGACTGCCGGGGAATAGTGAAATCACCTGGGATAGGTGGGCTGTGTGGTTCCAGAGAGGCCAGCTCCTTGGTAACTGGCATCCCGTTGCCATGGCAACGGGGCTAGTGATGGAGCGAGAGATGGCAGTGTGCGTGTGGCGAGGGCGGGCTGGAGAGTGCATTTGGGCACACCAAGGGGCTGGAGACCTCTGAGCCTGGCTTCCTGCTGCTGCTGAGTCCTCAGTGCCTGCCCTGTCGAAGGCTGGCCTGCAGGGATGTGCGGCGAGGGAGGCGAAGCTCTGGGGGGCCAGACCTCTGACACCTCTCCTTGTCCACCTCACTCTCCTCTTGACAGGTTCCAGGCGGAGGGTGGTTACGTGCTCTACCCTCAGATCGGGGACCGGTTAGACCTGCTCTGCCCCCGGGCCCGGCCTCCTGGCCCCCACTCCTCTCCTAATTACGAGTTCTACAAGCTGTACCTGGTCGGGGGTGCCCAGGGCCGGCGCTGTGAGGCACCCCCTGCTCCAAACCTGCTCCTCACTTGTGACCGGCCGGACCTGGATCTCCGCTTCACCATCAAGTTCCAGGAGTATAGCCCCAACCTCTGGGGCCATGAGTTCCGCTCACACCACGATTACTACATAATTGGTACTGCTGGGCAGAGAGGGCAGGGTCCAGGGGGAGGTGCCCCCAAGACTGAGGGCAGAGGAGGAGCCCAGAGAGACCCCTGATTCCCACCACCGCCCCCCTCCCCGGGGAGGTGTCAGGGCCCGGGAACGGGGACGGAGTAGGGGCTAGGCTCTGGACTGCCAACCTCTCCCTCTGGCTCTTCTCTCCCAGCCACGTCGGATGGGACCCGGGAAGGCCTGGAGAGTTTGAAGGGAGGTGTGTGCCTCACCAGAGGCATGAAGGTGCTTCTCCGAGTGGGACAAAGTGAGTGGGGGCTGGGGCACACCTCCCGAGTGCTAAGGGAGGTTTGGGAAGTCCCATGTTGGTCAGGGGCCTGCCGTCTCAGCCCCTCTCTCTTGGGTCTTCCCCATCTCCAGGTCCCCGAGGAGGGGCCGCCCCCAGAAAGCCTGTGTCTGAAATCCCCATGGAGAGAGACCGGGGGGCAGCCCACAGCCTGGAGCCTGGGAAGGAGAACATGCCAGGTAGGAGCCAGGGGTCCAGCCTCCTGCCTTCCCCCCCGCCTCCTCAGTTCTCAGACCCCAGCTGCCCAGCCTTCGCCCTCTCCCTCCGCCTTCACTTTTGGGAGGGGCGATACAGGAAAGAGAAGAGAGGATGGGAGGGTGGGAGGGGAGTGGAAGCCAAATGAGGAAAAGACTCAATTAGAACTAATTAGCCAATTCAATCAGAGCTGTCAGAGAAGTAGGGAAGACTACTTGGCACCGAGCTGAAGGGCTGGACACACCTGGATTCTGAGTGGGATTTGGGGGGGAAGGGGAGGTGGGGTCCCCAGGGGGCTTGGGCCCTGCTGGGGAAGCCCATGGGGACCCCCAAGGCTGGGTGTCCAGATGCCCAGGTGGCTCCTTCAGCCCCTCCCCCTCTTTCCTCCTTCACCCCTTCCCTGCCAGGTGACCCCACCAGCAATGCAACCTCCCGGGGTGCTGAAGGCCCCCTGCCCCCTCCCAGCATGCCCGCGGTGGCCGGGGCAGCGGGGGGGCTGGCGCTGCTCTTGCTGGGCGTGGCAGGGGCTGGGGGTGCCATGTGCTGGCGGAGACGGCGGGCCAAGCCTTCGGAGAGTCGCCACCCTGGTCCTGGCTCCTTCGGGAGGGGAGGGTCTCTGGGCCTGGGAGGCGGAAGTGGGATGGGGCCTCGGGAGGCTGAGCCTGGGGAGCTAGGGATAGCTCTGCGGGGTGGTGGGGCTGCAGACCCCCCATTCTGTCCCCACTATGAGAAGGTGAGTGGTGACTATGGGCATCCTGTGTACATCGTGCAGGATGGGCCCCCCCAGAGCCCTCCCAACATCTACTACAAGGTATGAGGGCTTCTCCTACCTGGCTCTCCGGGATCCAGCCCTTCTTGGGGGTGCTCCTCCAGTTTAAGTCACGGTTGGAGGGACACCTCTAGCATCCCCTTGGCCCCCTCACCCCACCAGCTTCTGTGCCCCTGCTGTTGTGGACCCCCTCCCCACGTTTAGGATTCCTTAAGACTCCTGCCCTCGGTTGGCCGCGCGTGGCCCCCACAGAGACTCAGCCCCTTCTTCTGACCGTGACCCAGCTGTCCTTCTGCCCCCCACACACCCAGAGCTAGGGGTGGGACGGTCTGTCTTTTGGTTGGCACCTCTTCCTTTCTGCTTCTCACTGGTTTTCTCTTCTCTCTCTCTCTCGTATTCTCTCTCTCTTTCTCTCCTGTCTCTAGGTCTGTTCCTCTTTCCTAGCACCCCCCTCCCTGCGTCTTCTTTTACCCTTTCGGCTTCCTCTCCTCGGCCTCTCTCATCTCCCGGGTGGGGGGACGCAAGCACTCCCCCCTGAGCTCCCTCTTCACCGCTCCCCTCAGTCTGCCAAAAATGGGGGCCTTACGGGGCAGGCTCGGGCCCTCCACCCCAGCTCCAGGCACGGGCAGCGGGGCCTCCTTCTCTGCCCTGCCCCAGGCCTGTACATTCTTACTCCGGCCCATCTGGGGTGGTTGGGTCGTGACAGCTGCCGGTGGAAGAAGTGTCCTGTTTTGTCAGTGGCCACGAGCAAGATGCGACCCGGTCGGGGCACACGTGTGGATTTGGTCTGATGCCGAACGGGCCCCGCTTGGGACAAGAAGTGACTTGCTGCAGACAAGAAGTGCCCGGGGGAGGCCTGGACGGAAGTGGCCTGGCCAAGGGGCAGGAGCGGTGCAGCAGGAACTGGAAGTGCCTTCATCCAGGACAGGAAGTAGCACTTCTGAAATAGGAAGTGGTCTGGCTGGAACTCCAAGTGGCTTAGTCTTGGGGGGCGGGGGTGGGGGCGGTGGATGGTTCTTACTCTGTGGAGCAGTGTGTGTGTTGAGGGGGGGCAGGAAGAACTTCCTGTTTCAGGAGGAAGCCGGAACTGACCGTTAGAAGACAGGGTGGACTGAGGAGGATTCTCCTAGTCTCCAGGGGCACTTCCCGGGACCTCCCTTCCCCACTCTCGTGCTACTTTTAGGACAGCTAAGGTGACTGCCACCAGCTGTGGCAGGCCCCGTTTGTCTTCTTCTTCCCTCTCCCCACCCCAGTATAATCTCTGTTAATCAACAGGACTATCCCAAGAACCCGCGTGTTGTCCCCAGTAACCCAGAGGGCTGTCTTGTTCATCACATCGTCCACTTCCTCGTCCCTTCAGACTCGACACAGCTCCCTTCTTAGTGACCAAAACGGTGGCCTACTGACTGGTCTAGCGGACGGTGGTACTTAGCCCCTGCCACTGTTTCCAGAGCGACCAGCGTGTACCTCTACCTGCCCCGTAGTGCACAAATTGGGTGTTGCCTTCTTTTGCTCCCAGCTCAGTTTCATTAGATCAGAGCTGCCTCTTGGGCACCACGTTGGCCACCTCCATCACCAGCCAAGATGGTTACTTTGTCCACCAGAGGTCCAGTCATCTCTCTGGTGCTGTAGCTCCCAGCTCCTTCCTGATTTTTCTAATCGCTCCTTCCAGAGAACAGGAAGTTGATATTGCCATGGGGGAGGTGGCGGGGTATGGCCGTCACCTCGATAGTTTTACTGTAAAAGGGAAATTTGAACAACAAAAACCAAAAAAAATAAAAAAATAAAAAACTTCAAAAGTGGACAAGAAGGCTGGAGAATGACTGGGCGTGAGTTGGGACGGAGGACGGGTAGAATGGCTTTCAAGCTGAGAGTTGGATCTCAGAGAGCCAAGGGGAAGGGTAGGGAGCCGGTTGGGTTGGAGGGGTGAGGGGGTGGTACACGGGGAAAGGATACTGGACTGGGTGGGTTGGAGGGGTGAGGTGAGCAGTACATGGGGAAGGGATACTGGGCTGGTGGCTGGAGGGGTGAGGTGGACAGTACACGGGGACGGGACACTGGGCTGGTGGCTGGAGGGGTGAGGTGGGCAGTACAGGGGGACGGGACACTGGGCTGGGTGGTTGGAGGGGTGAGGTGGGCAGCACAGGGGGAAGGGACACTGGGCTGGGTGGCTGGAGGGGTGAGGTGGACAGCACAGGGGGACGGGACACTGGGCTGGGTGGCTGGAGGGGTGAGGTGGACAGTACAGGGGGACGGGACACTGGGCTGGTGGCTGGAGGTGTGAGGTGGACAGCACAGGGGGACCGGACACTGGGCTGGTGGTTGGAGGTGTGAGGTGGACAGCACAGGGGGACCGGACACTGGGCTGAGGTGGACAGTACAGGGGGACGGGACACGGGCTGGTGGCTGGAGGTGTGAGGACAGCACAGGGGGACCGGACACTGGGCTGGTGGTTGGAGGTGTGAGGTGGACAGCACAGGGGGACCGGACACTGGGCTGGTGGTTGGAGGGGTGAGGTGGACAGTACAGGGGGATGGGACACTGGGCTGGGTGAGAAGGCCAAGGCAGCTGGCTCCAGGGGAGGGAGAGAGGAACCCAGACCAGAGCATGAGCTGCCAGTACAGCCAATGGGGATGTATGTGAGTCCGTGTTCACACGTGTCTGTTGCTAAACCAAAGCGCCAGAGACAAGGCAAGTCGCAGTCAGAAACAGAGTGGGGAAAAACATTTCCCGGGTTCAAGTCTACTCCCTGCCATCCCTGCCCAAGGCATCTCTGACTCAGGGAGTTTTGCTGCTGGGGACCAGTGTGGGCAGAAGTGGTATGACTCCCCAGAAGAGTCAGGGACCCAGGCATCAAGCTGCCCGCCCAGTGGCTTCCTGTGTACCCATAACCCAGGCTCTTCTTCCCTAAAAAACCCTGGGGGCCCTAGACTCAGGCCCATTCTCCAACCACAAAAGCAGCCAGCCAGGAGCATCTCTGGAGCTAGTCGGCAGGGGTCACAGTCTCTGCCCTGCCCGCCCCTCCCCTGACTTTAGGTCCCCTCCCGCTGTCTTCCATCTGCCTGGAGGTCAAGGGGTCCTCCTGCCCCACTCTGTCTAAGGGGACCCCTGCCCCTCCCCCTGTCCGAGCAAGACGCCCGGGGCCTGAGAGGTGCGGGCGCTCTGGGAGGGGAACTGCCAACGGAGGCCAGGTGCTGGACTGTCTGGAATTCACTCCTGTTCCTCGGAGCCCGCACTGGGGCAGCCTGAGGTGGGGAGGCTTGAGGGGGGTGGAAGGGCTGGTCCCTGCCCCTTAGTGGGGGTTGGTTGTCATGGCAACATCCCCTTCTCCACACAATGGGAAGCCCCCCTCAGCCTCCCGCGTGGATGGAGCCGACAGCCCCATCGCTGGCTATCAGCCTCAGGGACTTGGCAACCGTCACTATGGCAACACAGAGCCCAGCAACAGGGCCCAGTGAGAAAGGGAGGGGTCCAAGACTGGGGCAGGGCTGTGTGTGTGAGGGGGCAAGGGAGCCGAGGGAGAACCAATCCGCCCTCCCCAACAGACATCCAGAGGCGCAGGTGGAGGGACGATGAGAAGGAGGAGAAGTGGGGATAAATAGTCTCGGTGACAAACACCTCGCCGAAGCAGCCAAGACATCGTAACACGCTGAGAGACAGGAAGACACCTGGGGACAGATGCACAGCTGGGGACAGGAGCTGCACATTCTGCACAACATCCCGGGACACACCCCCTCGGAACGCTGGCGTCTCTGGACTCTCCCCCCTCCGCACGCGCGCAGGGACAACACGGGACTTGCAGCCCGCCACACGCGTAGCTCTCGAGCTATTTGAAACAACTGGTCACTTCCACATAGAACCACACATGCCATCCTATTCTCTTCCCAGGTCCAAACACGCCAACACGCCCCCCAGGTAACGGCTACCTCGAAACGAATAGAGGGGGCAGGAACACATTCGTTTTTTTTTGTTGTTGTTGTTGTTCGCTTATTCGCTCAACATCCCATTAAGTGTCTACTTTGTTCCAGGAACTGTTTCGGGCCCTGGGAATATAGAGTAAATGCAGCAAAGTCCCTGCTTTCACCAAGCCCACGTCTGGGTGGGGGACAACCTAATCACATTTCTGGCAGTGACAGGTGATATAAACAAACCGGAGTAACGGGATGAAGAGGCTGGAGAGTAACAGGGAGGTGCTTTAGGTTAGGAGGTCAGGAAGGTCCCACTGAAGAGGTGACATTTGACTCCGACCTTGAGTGAGTGATGTGGAGGAAGGCTCTGGGAAGGGCACACCCCACAGAGAGAACAGCAAGTGCAAAGTGCAGAGGTGAGATCTCGGCATGTTTGGGAAGAGTGAGAAGGACCTCGCAACCAGCAGACGTCCCAGGCGTGTCCTGTCCCTCTGCAGCCTCAGCCTGGAGGGGGGCAAGTCACGTAGGGTCTAGAATCCACATTTAGGAAGTTGGTCTAACTCGGTATTCCTGTTCTCCCATTCAGATGTTGTGCGTGAGTTGTGTTTTCCTCAACCACATTTTGAGCTCTGGAAGGACAAGGAAGATGCTCTGAGCTTTATGGGGGCCATGGCACAGCTGCTGGTACAGGGTCTAGAGCGTGCAGGCCGAGAGGAAGTAGGGGAACCCTGAGAACTGGGGACCATAGAGGCTAAAGCTGCACATAACCCCCCCCAACCCCCGCCCCCAGTCCCAAACAGCAGAGGCTCTCCTGGGGGCTGAGCTGCACACAGAGGCTCACACTTTGCAGGACGTGAATTAGGTGGACGTGTGTGTGTGTGTGTGTGTGGGGGGGTTATGTTGGGGGGTTTTAAGGAAAGGGGCATAGAGCAAAGGGCTGCTGTGGGAATTTCTGATAGGGAATGGTCGACATCCCAAGTGGAATTTCAGTTAGAACGAAAAATGGAGCTTCCTAAGGGGCTATGTGAGGAATTGCAAACAGGGGGCCCCCCTTCCCCCAGGGAAAGTTTCAAGATCTGTAGGCAGGCTGGGGGAAATGCTGCAGGGTGGCTTGGAGGCAGGGGGCTGGCTGGGATAGGC